CCCAGCCAGCCTTGCTGGCTGAGGAATTCTGGGAGTTGAAGTCCACACATCTTCAAATGGCCAAAGTTGAGAAACACTGACTTAGCGTGATGCAATGCTCAACTGGACGTTTTCAAAAATAAAAGAATGTTTCACATCCCTTTTCTGGGGCTGCCCCAACCCTTTGGAACAGCCTCCCCCTTGAGATTCGGGGGCCCCCGCCCTTATAGCCTTTGGGAGGGCTGGGAAGACCCATCTCATCCCCCAGGCTTTGAGTTATGAGAGAAGTGAGCCCAGAAAATGTAAGGTTGAGAAACACTGCTCCAGAAAGTTATGCAAGATCCTGCCTGGCACAACTAATGCCACCACTCAATCTTTCCCTGATTTGCAACTCTTCTGTTTGTTTTGGAAATGCGATTTCATGGGGGAGAATACTGACAGGCCCAGGATATGGTGCAATGTTTAGAAAGAAGAATAAAAATAATGTTCATTGTTCAGCCTAAAAAGGTCAGCTGAAGTTTGCATTTCTCTGCATTGAACGAAGCGACAAGCTTGCTGTTGCTAAAATAAGCCTTCGGCTGGGATACAGGTCTTTGTCATTCCTTGACCAGGCAATCTTTAGAAGGTAGTCAGGCTTTGCTTTGTGAGGACGGGCAAGCACAAATTTGCTTAACGAAGAGTTACTGAAAGCAGTCCCTTTGATTGCTGGAAGAGATACTTGGGCAACGATGCAGAACTTCACCCTGATCCTTCCCTCCCAGGCTTCCAGTTCCCACTCAACTCTTGGATGGTTGGACACCCCTTAGAACTTCTGCCTTCTCTGTCTCATCCCCCTTCCCTCAGAATCCAGCTGAGACCAGAGGCTCTGGGGTAAATTTCTCTGAACAAAGGGTTGCATTTCCCAGACATCACAGTTCCCAATTCAGTAGCCGGGTCTAGAAGTCTCCGAGGAAGCCAAAAACCTCATCTGTCAACTGCTGCTTACTCTATTCCACAAGAGATTAAACCAATTTGATGTTGGGGAGGGGTATAAGAAATGCACTCTCTGATCCACAGGGTACAGCATGTGATACACACCAGGAACTTCCTGCAGCCTGGAGCTCTCCAGAGGTGTTGGATATCCCTCGCATTACCTCCCAGCCGACAAACCTAGACACGTGTCTGTCCCTGCTGAGGAACAATCGAAGATCTGAAGCTGGGCATGGCAGAAACTGAGGGCACCAAGCCGGGGGAAGATTGTTTTTAATTCTCCAAGGATGAATTCCTACCCACACAAGCCATGTAAGGCAGAGATACTATTAGTGAAAGTAAAACTGCCTGAACACTTTTAGGGAAAAAAACCTCAAAGGCTCAGTGAGGACTGAGCAAGTCCAGTGAGATTAACTGAGAGAAAAGCAAAAGAAAATTGGGCAGGGGGAGCAGGACATGGCACGGCATGGCATAGTTTGAAGAAGGGCACGGCCGGCTGGCATTCTCAACAGGAACACTTGACCGGAGTTTCTCTTCTGGCAGATTCCATTTGCAACTCTAAAACTGGAATAAAGAGCCATCAGCTTACAATCTCTCCTGTTCTGCAGTCAGGCAGCCATCTTGGATCATTTTTAACATTATTCCTGAGTTCCCCCGCTGTTGCCAGGCAGAAAAGACCTACAATGACAAATAAGGTCTAACTTACACAATTTAATAAGGCGTGTCGTAATTTTAATGAAGCTTGAAGATAGTACTTGTTCAGGAAGGTGAGTCCCCCAGATGGTTACCAAGAGAACTGTTAAAGTGCTGGGCACTAAAATGTAATTAAAAATTCTCTCGACTGGTATCATTTAATAATTGTACTTCCCAACATTGCCAGGGCTGGTAATTTCTCTGCTAATAAATGCTACAAGAGATGAACCAACACATTTGGACTCTTTTAAACTGCCCTGTTTGATAGATGAGAAGAGGAGCCATTTTTCCTTCCACTTAATATTTTCACATTCAACACCAATTAAACCATGGGTAAACATCCCCAATCAGGTTTTTTCTAGAAGCACTGGGCCCAATCCCAGAAGGCTATGCTTGCTGAGAATTCTGGGAGTTGCAGTCCCTACATCCTTGGAGGATGCAAGATGGGAAGCTGAGCTACAGACCATGGTTGGGGGGGAATATTGGTTCATAGGCCTAACTCAGGGAATGGTGAAGTTATTGTAAACTCTGAGTGAAAGAGGAAGAAATCAGTAGACCAGTGTTTTTCAAAGTTGGCAACTTTAAGATGTATGGACTTCAACTCTCAGAATTCCCCACCCAGCATGCTGGCTGGGGAATTCTGGGAG